TATTCCATGGTGAATTGTAAGTGGTATTATTGCAAAATGGAAGAGTTTAGAAACAACAGAAACTCAGCCAGGAAGTGGGAGGCCACGTAAAGTAACAGAGCAGGGTCACCGAGTGCTGAGAGGCATACTGTGTTAAAGTCGCCAACAGCATGTTGACTCAATAATTGCAGATTTCATTTGGTATTAACCCCAGCACAAAAAACTGTGTGCATGGAGCTTCATGGAATGGGCTTCCATGGCTGTGCAGCTGCATGGAAGCCTCACATCACCAAGCACAATGCCAGGCTTCAAATGCAGCAGCCACTAGACTCTGGAGCAGTGGAAACATGTTCTATAGAGTGAAGTATCACGCGTCTCTGTCTGGCAGTCTAGTGGACAGGACATTACCTGCCTGACTGCACTGTGCCAACTGTAAATGAAACCCCATGATGACATGGGGAGGACATATAAACTCCACACACATGGAACTCCGGTCCTAGAGGTTTGAGGCAACAGTGCTAACCACTGCACCACTATTATTATAGCAGCTATTTAGTAACACTACAGTTGTTACCGGTTATTTCGGTCATCGTATACCTAATTCTGAGGTTGTGCTCACCTTTTCACCATTGATGCACCAAGACCCTGTTGTCACCAAATCCAACAAAGAATTTATTGTTTCTTTCAGTGTCTTGCTCTACCAGTGCAGTGTGCAAGTCCAGTGGTATCTGTGAGCCTGATCACAGGTCCTGAGTTTTACCCAACATCCAGCTTTTACTGTTTGGAGAAGAGAGTCTCCATCTATGGATTGGTTATTGTAATCTGAGTGAAGTCACGGTGAAGTATTGTTACGCTGTACCTCCAGTCCCTGCAACTCTGGAGCAGTTAAGGGAAGCTGTCAGGGTCAGCGCTGGACCGACCCTATCCTTTTTGGTTTGTTCCCATTTGGCCAGCAGGTGTCGCTGGCCAGCCTGTTCCCTTTGTCTTGCAGATCTTAGTCCCTATTGTGTTTCCTCGCTCCCCAGGCCCCCACATAGCTTAATGGGTTGAGTGACTGATTCTAAAACTCTCACTCCTCCAGTTGTGGGTTTTAGATTGGCCTGAGGCCAGTCTCACCTTTAATTTAATTTATGGGGTTTCATTTTTTCCTTCACTTTTGGTTTTTCCTTACTGTCTGTTATGGTTTATTTTTGTCTTTCTGTTTTGATTCACACTGTAAGTGCCCTGTTTTATTTTGGTTCTGCTTGTTCCTTGTCTTACATAGTGTTAGCCCTCAGTATTGCCAATGTTTCCTAGTTCCTGTGTTTGTTAGTCGTGATGTATTCCACCTGTTGCTTATTGTCCTGCTCCTTTGTTAATTGGTTGATTCTTATGATGGTGCATTTCTGTGTATTTAAGTGCCTGCCTTTGTTAATTTCCCCAGTCAGTTGTTGTCTATGTGTACAATGTGTTTGGTTGGCTTATTTCCTATTAGTGTTCCCTGTTTTTCCTTGGTTCCTTAGTTGTGATTATTTCATGGTCTTCATTTTAGACTGGACTGTTTCCTGTTTGTTTTTGACCCATCACAGTCCGTTTGTTTTGGTGCATTTCCTCCCAGTGTGTTTAGCTAATTCAATAAACTCTTGTTGTCTTGGAGCCATTCAGTGGATCGTCACCTTCTTTCTTCCTGCGCCGTGCATCACCATGACAGGAAGCTAATAAATACTTGAAAAGTGCCTACAATTTCATTTGGATATGTGATGGAGATGAGTGGAAGATGGAATTTCACACCCACATCAGTCACTAAGAGTGTTTACTAATGCCATATGGTCTGGTCAATGCACCTTTTGTGTTTCAAATCCTCTATGAATACCTAGAAAGATTATTGTGTATATTGATGATATCCAGAATTGCTTTTACTGAAGCCAAGAAGGACACATACGGTTTATTTGTGAACTTTCTTAAATGGATACCAGGTTCTGTGGTTATTTGATTAGTGTTCATGTTTCACAGATGGACCACTTAAAGGTAGAAGCAGTGAAAGGGTGGCATAAACTGTTGACAATAAAGTGAATACTGAGATTTTGGGTATCTTCTCATTGCTACCATCATAATCAGATTAAAAGGAGGCTCCTACAAACTCAAGTTGACAAGAAAAGACATACTCACCTTTGAGGAACTGAAGATCTAGTCCATCAATTTTCCTAAACTTCCAGAACCCTCCATTTCTTTTATTGCAGAAGTAGATGCTTCTGAAGCTGGTGTAGGACTAGTTCTTTTCTAAATACAAGGTGAAAGTCACCCCCCGGTATCTGTTTGTCAAGAAACCTCACATCTGCAGAAAGGAATTATGACACCAGCAATCAGCAACTGTTAGCTATTAAACTAGTATTTGAAGTGTGGAGATACCGGCTTGAAAGAGCACAACATCTCTTCCTTGTTCCTGCAGCCATAATGGAGACAGCATGTCCTGCATATCTACAGACTTCCTTACAATTCCATGGTTGAATTTTTTTTCTGATCATTTGACTAGTAAACCCAGTGCCTGATCTCCAACTGTCTCCCCAGTACAAGATCAATCCCATGTGTTACTGTTAAAACCAGTCACACAGTCCCCTGTTCCACTTCCTCCCAGCCTACCTCGCTGCCATAGCTAACGACAGTACTTTGTGGAACTTGAAGGCTGGGGACCAGAGGAGTTCTCTTGGGTTCTGGTGGTGGACATCTTGCACCCCTTCCTCACTGTGGATTTCCATTACACCCACCCTTGGTTTTGCCAACACAGGATTTATAGCAATTATTGAATTGACTGTTCCAGTTATCTGTGCCATAATGTTAGCTATAGTATGACCCATTAAAACCTCAATCCATATGACCTCAACCAGGTTGCAAAGTATTCTCTTGTCTGTTCTTTGGTGCTCTGTGCTTTGCTCTAGCTTGTATTACCTTCTAATAAATCTGGATCATCCTTAAAACCTTTTCAGCAACTGATTAATCTGTGCCTGGATTTCTTAGTTAGTTGGACTTTTGAAATAAATGCCACGACTTGATTTGCACTGAAAGTCCTTAAAACATAAAAATAATTTGAGGTAAGGCTTCTTTATTTTTTTTTGATGAAAACGCGACGCAGGTTCAAAAATAGTTCACATGGTTAATGAAGTAGCAGATAGAGTCACTTCTCTCTTTCATACTCATACACAACGAAATAATTATATGTATGCTGTATAAGCATTCATATCTTGAGTGTTAATACTGTGCGTTTACCGTATAAACACAAATAGAAGATAAAAACATTCTCCAACATGAGCACGTGCTCTCATTCACACACATAAATAAATGATATTCTAAATAATCAATGGAGGGATACACACCTGCCATGACATATTTAGACTTAGACGAATAGGTTATTTGAGCTCCAAGGAAAAATTAGCTTCTTTAGTGTTAAATAATTAAAGTCCTGCCCTAAATTCACTACCTAAAACCGCAAGAGTGACACATGAGATCACGTACTCAAAATATAACAATCATGGGATCAGTGCCATTATCAAAATGTAGCCATCATAAGCATGGCTACATTTTGAATTATGCATTTTACAGAAGTTGGTACGAATGATTAAAACACAAGATTTCAGAGATCAATACTGGCCGGGGTGGGTGGGGGTCAAACGCGTAATTTTACAACCTGGCTACGTGCTTGTATTAAGACCCTCAGATATCCCTAAAAGATCACGACTGTTCTCAAACGGCAAGCAGCACTCAGGAGAGACATATTTCTCCCACTTTTTGCCATCTGTTTCCGCTTGTGACTTTCAATGCACTCGTATTTAAAATATCTTGGATTAACCGTTGACGAGACATCAGATGGTTTGTTCTATCTACGCACATTGAATCTTGGTAAATAAAAAATATGAATTTATAACACAATTTTAATATATTGATTATTAATATTACTGTTTGCAGCGCAACCGATTAACTCCAGAGAGAAGAATAAAAATTCAGCACCGCCTTTATAGACAGCTCCGCTCCACAACGGACGTGTCTGCGTTATAGGTTTACCCATCTAAGAGAAAATACGACTGGGCTCTTCAACAGTTTAACAACGGCAAATATCAACAGAGGAATAAACAATTATTTTTTTAAACAAATAACGTTATGATATTAGAGAAGCATAGGGCTTTTTAAAATATTATACAACTTAGAGGCCAACAATAAATAAACCTTGAATATTTACATCACAACTAAAGCAAAACTGTTAGAAATGCCTGGAAAAATGGCTTTGATTTGAAATAGGGATCCAAAACAAATCCGAGGGTCGCGTACTGTTTTCCACAACCTTTAAACGTATATTTGGAATAAATATTAGATTTCTGTAGTCTTGGAATTATTTTAAAGAAGAGAAGTCCTTTGTATGATATCGTGAGTTTTCCGTGATATTATCCAAAATAAGTCATCATCATGATATTTTGGTAATCATCCAAGCCGCATTCCGTAAGTTCAAATTAAGTGCAAAGAATTTATAAGGTGACACGCAGGAAAGATATGTAAATTGGACACGAGTGAATGTTTGCTAATCAAAATAATTGTAACACTGTTTTCAAAGTCAGATCCGCAAGCTTTCCCCTTACAGACACGCAGGCGTTTACCGGAATACGCTGTGATTGTTAACGCAGATGAATTAATTCCTTATTCAGCGGTCATTTTTAAAGGTACATTGGATAAATATCCAGCTACTGAAGCGTTAGAATAATTTCTAGGATTCCAGGCCACGTCAGACACATGAAGCATATTAATGGGACCTAGATTAATTAATAAACACAAATTGTAGGATTTTTTGTATACTTGCCTTTATTGATAACCTGGTTAATTATTCGGCGGCGTAAGTGTTAACGCGAGGCTCAGTCATTTATCTTTTTCAAGTGGCATGAGCGAAAGAGAACGAACGCAAGGAAGGGGGTGGGGTATGACTGTGTGTTGGGGGGTGGCTACTACAATGCCGGGTGGCGGTAGGGGGGCGTGAAACGGATGGATGTAGGAGGGGCAAACCAATAATCTCTTATACAGAAAACCCCATCCAGTAGCCGACAGAATTTGTACTTTATCGTTCTCCTCTTTCACGGCTGCATAAGAAGCCAACACCTGCCGACTGGTTGCAGCGCCGTGACATCCTGCTTCCCGTTAAATACAGTAAGTACAGCTGATTGTATATTTGCCAAGAAGACATGCAATCTCTTAACATCGAAATTATTCTTGTTGCCGGCTATTAATAAAATTTCGTGATATATATTGCATCTTCTGTAACTGCTTCGCTTAGTTATTCTATTAGGTTCAACCAGACGCTTTTTTTGCGCTGTGAGACCTGTGCATCTCTCATGAAACATGTCTGTCCATTTGCTCGTCTATTAATGTCAGTTCTCAACACCTTTTGTCCCCTTTCTCTCAATATCTGCATCTCTTCTCATCTCACTCCATCTCCCATTCGACCGCTCCATCCCGTCCCATCCCCCCTCCATCTAGTATCGGCCATTTTGTCTGGTCCAAATTAAGGAATTTAGCCAAGAGCCCGAATTAGGTGGGATAACATCTTACCACAAAATTATATGTGTATTATTTAAGCTACACATCGATATATATACACGTGGATGTGTGTCCGTTTAACCAATGCCATTAAGATACCAGCGTTAAAAATTCCTTTATTTTGAGCCCATCACAGTAAATAGTTGCACAGACATTTGTATGATGCATGTGTAGCTTATGTATAGCCTGCACTGAAAATGTTCCTCACATAATGCTAATAGTGATTTTAAGCATTTTTTTCCATATGTATCACCCTGCATTACCACTTCAGTAAGGCCTTCACACAGCAGAAAAAAAGGTGATATCATTAAAATTAACAATTTTAGCTCTCTTAAAAAATCCATCAAGTCTCTGAAGGCAAGTGATATTCCATGCAAGAAGGAATTTACAGTAGGGATGAAAAATATGAAGAAAATGGATCCATTTGATATGGTGATATGCTATATTTGTATATTATTCAGTTACAATACCATATGAAGGCAACATATGTTAGGCGTGACTACTGTTAAAGGTAGGTCATTCTGCTGAGTTTTGGGAACAAGCAGTCCTTGTAACAGCTAAATCTAGTGGTGCATAATGACACAAATCATCACGGTCTGCCGCGACTATGCCAAAATAAAAGCAGAAGCACATGTGAAGGCTGACTACACTGATATTATATGTACTATATTGTGCATAAATGGCTATACCTTTATATGCATTTGTACCTATAATGTACTCGCAAATGATGGATGGTTATGTGGATGTATATGGCTGTGATGTGATATGCCACAGTTTGTGCCTGATGGAATCTTTACCTTATTTTATGCGGTAATTTACTGGGATGGAATCGGAAACACATCAGTGTGTCTGACACTGTCTCTGATTCGTTTGCCACAGTGCATTTTTGTGTGTGTGTTCCTGTGAGGCGGCGTGTGGAATCTACTAATTCCCCTGGTGCTTTAGAATTTGGGACTGAATGTGAGAGAGTTCTATTTGCAAACAATTATTCACATCAATGCACATTTGTTGGGCAGAAGAAAGGCGAACAATTTTCTAAAAGTCTGCCAACCTGCTCATCCTTTTAATGTCAGCTCATGTTAATTGTTCACGAAATCTCCCTGTCTCTCTTTTCTGTGGTTATTTTTTTTTTAACGGCTTGCTGCCTGATCTTCGCTCTCTTTCCTTCTAATGGAGGCAGCAAAATTGGATGCATCGCACCAAGCCTTCCCAGGAGCCAGGGTGGTAATTTAGGAATGCGTAGCTGCTGCAGTACCTGGCATTGTGCACATTTTTCTGTTCTGCCTCAGTACCACAAAGGTCTCTAGCTTTGGCGCAGCTCTGCAAAGTCATTTAGGGAGCAAAAGCAGGAACGCATGGTCTAACTCTGCTACCACAGCCTCCTGCTGGAGTCGATTCAAGGACATTGACATTGACATTGAGTTGTACCCAGTCCTGACCCACATTTGGTAATTATGTCATATTCCCATTATTTTGTCACATGGCTGATGCTTTTACCCAACAGCACACGCAGATCTCTCCCTTATTCAGCTGGATATTATGCTTGAGAAATTCAGGTTAAGTACCTCGATTAAGGGTTTTGTAACCCAGGGCCCGTGATTCCATTCCGTCACGCGATTCCATGTGTTTGTACTTCTGTTCCAGCCATCTCTGAACAAGATGTTGAGTTTCTGGTAGGTTTGCATGCATGAAAAAATATATTAAAATATACATGGCTGACATGCATGTTTGTGAAGTCAAAGATACATTGTATAGGCACTTAATAATTTAAAGGCAATGGTCAATTTATGGGGGGGTTGGAGCCAAACTAAATACGAGTCCACTGGCCACTTGGTGTTCGGAGTAGCTCACCATGGCTTCTTATGCATTTCCAGGTCACTTCTCACGATTTTCCAAACCGTTTATCTAAGCGAGATGTTGTACTGAGATTTAGACTGTAGTAAATGCAGGAGTCGATGAGATTAAGCTGATATTAAATCATTCCTTAAGGTCAAGAAGTAACATGAGAAGATTCACATTTTCAGCAGCACATTGTTCAAGGTAGATACAACTTATAACTCAAATTTCAAATGTGTTGGTAACTATAACACCAGCCACAGCACTTTAAACATCATACATAATGACTTCCAGTGTCATGAATAATATTTCTTGAAGTTCATATGTGATGTACATACAAAAAAAATAGATTGACCCTACTTTTTTTGCTTTGCAATGTTCTAAGGCACTCACTGGCCATATGAATTACAGGGCCAGAAGTGTCACGTTTGCTAGTGGTCTGTAGTCTTTCTGTAATTTGACTGGCACCATTTGCTCCCCACACTTGTGCACTTCTGGAGGGGGCATTATGTCAGAAGGGACTTGGCGTGAAGCTGACACCACATTCTAACAACAAATGCAAACACCGGCCATGACTTACGCTATATATGCTCATACAGATGGATGGTATGGTCTGACTCACACGGTTGTTCTCCATATATGGGCAATATTCTCTTCTGCAGTGAAACATGTTCCTTCAGCATTATATATTGATTCATACATGCTAATTTATATTTAGAACGAATTTATATATACATGTGTATATGCGCATATATGTACTTATTAACATATATGTTGATCTTACTTCCTACACACACACACACACACACACCTCAAATTGCATGAAATAATAAACTTTAAAAATTTAAAGCCCTTTGCATTGTATAGGATATTGCACATAGTGCCGAATATGGATAGGCTCAATGGAAAATCCTTAGCGACAGGGTGAGTGACAATTTGGCTTCACCCTGGCTTTACCCAAACCTTAATATTACATTTTTTATTATTTTTATGACTTAAGAGAAAAAGCATTTTAAATCCAGAGCCACTGAAACACATCTGTCACAATGTCCACTATATTACACCAGGAGATTAGTAAACTGAGATGCAGTGTCCAAGTAGATCAGCTGCAAAATCCGGTATTTTTCCGTTACTGTAACAGCTAACAGCCTCTCACTCATCTTCATCATTTGCATCACCACTGTGTGTGTTGCGGAGGGGGTGTTCATTTTGATGCATAGGTGTGTTAATCATCATCAATTAGAAGAATAGAATAGAACAGAATAGAATAGAATGCTATTGTTCATAACAGGCACAATAAAATGTAGTATGAAACTCCCTCTATGTATAATAAATATATTTTATATTTTAATTCCTACAACATCTATATAGATGTGTAAGAAACCTTTGTATATATATATAGAGGTGTAAAAAAACAATAACACCATTCATTGGTACGTCTCCCTTCATCTTCCTGGTACAGTGTGTCCCTTAAACATTCCAGTAACATATTCAGGTTTGGGCTGGTATTTAATTTTGGAAAATTTAATGGAGGTGAATAAACGAGAATCGGTTTATTGCCCCAGTCAGTATACATAAAAAGGATGCCAGCTGGAATTGAGGATGACGGGCAGCATTTATCCAGTCTGACAGAGGCTGTCTAGGCTGGTCTGGGCTGTCAGAATCAGCTGACTGCCAGCTGGGTATAAAGGAGTGGGTTTGTGCTAAAGACTGCAACATTTGTGCTCACACATTTACTTCTGATCGGTTCTGCTGTTAATAAGATACACAGTACATGCAATTCTCTTTTAAACCAAACAACACAAAACAAAGCTGCATCCTTTGGGAAGCATTAGTGGCTCTGTGGGTTGGGAACCTGTGCTTATGATTAGAAGGTCACTGGTTTAAATCCCAGGGTGGGCGGGATGACATCATCATTTGGGTTATGAGCAAGGCCCTTAACCCCAAATTGCTCCAGGCACTGCCTGACCTTGCCATCCCAGTTATACGTCACTTTGGATGAAACCACCTGCAGAATAAATGTAAATTTGGGGATAAAGTTTAATTCATTTAGGATCCATGAAAGTTGACCAGTATCGTCTTTAACAATATTTAACTTGAAGATGTAAGATGATGGTTAGTGTATAGTATTGGAAAACTGGCTGAGCACCAAGGTTCCGAGTCACAGATATGATGGCACCTAGGCCTTCGATGTCACCAGATAATCTGGTATGCGTACCTTTGTTTCCACCCCATCCTCTAACCCTTGCCCCCTGCCTGTCTCTGTTTGCTGTGGGTTTGTTTTGTCCCCATTCTTCTTTAGGAGGAATGTGTTTTTGTCTGTGGAAGCCGGACAGGATGGCTGTTGCGTGGTGGTGGGGGGGGTGCTAAGGGATTAGTGCTGGCAAAGTCCTCCGAAGGGCAGCGGTAGGATGCCAGAAAGCTTGAGCGGGGACAGGCCGTCTGGTCACTACCATGCTGTTATTTTTTAGCGTTATTAATTAGAAATGTTCATATTATTAAAGCATATACTTTTTCATGGACCTGTTTGCAAAGTTTATGAAATGGGAAGATAACAATCCAATTCCTGGCCTGCTCATTTTAAATTGACTTTCACTCCAGTCAGCCCAGTCATTGAGACTTGGAAAGGAAACCAGTGCTTTGTGGCTGCCGAGGAGTAGCTCTGCAGTGTTAACCGGCCTGGTTTCTGTTCGTGCTGGATAGAGCTGTAACAGTATGCACATTCTCCGTGTGCCTTTCGGTTACATCATTTTCAGTTCAGAATACACAATGAACTGAATGAATACATTTTTGTAGATGCTCAACATGGAAGACATTTTGCTATTTGTGGCTGGGAGGTTACGTCTAGGGCTGGTCACAGTCTGTGGCTGGGAGGTTACGTCTAGGGCTGGTCATAGTCAGTCATAACGGCGAAGCGAGAGGCTTGATGAACCCCCCCCCGACATCACTTATATTAGTATCTCGGGAATATTTTGGTTTCCCAATAAATTACACCAGCATTGAGGATAGTGTAGTTCATAAGACCAAGACTGTCTTTTGGCTGTTATACCGAATTTGAATATAATTTATGGTGCTTTTGCCAGAAAGTTCAAACCGGGCTAAAAAATTACTAAAGCTAGGGGTGTTAATTGCGACAGATATGCGATATATTCGGAAGTAGAGAATACAGGATTCAGTTCATTATGATTGTTATAATCCAGTCACATTTTTGAATTATTATATATTTAGCATATTTTACAATGTGCAAATAAGTTTTTGTTATACACATACGTCTATATATTGCCCTTTGTTTGGTATACAACTGGGTTTGGTTTTTAATTGTGTTTGTACTTGTAATAATAATTTAAAAACATATTACATTTTCCCGGCTGCCGAAATTGCATTGAACCGTGAAATGAAAACTGGGGTTTGTGCTGAGCCATGATTTGCTTGTACCATTACACCCCTTGTGCTGGAATGATCATCAGTAATGCGCCATTGTTACACTGTGGCTAGATAAATTACCAGCTTGTGTAATTTTATTTTCTAACCAATCACTTATTTCAGAGAACATAAAGTAGTTCAGTAAACAATGAACAAGTAGTTTTTCTTTAAGATCTGTTTTATTTACAGTTCATGCTATAAAATCTGCAGTCCAGACCTGATACAGTTCTACGTTCTATAACTAGCCATTTAGCTATGTATGACCAGCATATTGACTCTATCCAACGAAAATCATGTATTTCCTAAAATTCATTATTTCATCAGTGTGAAAAAAACACATTTTCTAGGAAACTACTTTACAAAATAAACCGAAAACAACATAATGAGACACCATTAGCACCACAAATAGAAACCAGTCTTTACACAGCTGTCAGTGAACAGTTTAATGTTTTAAATAGACTGTGGATTGTTGTTAGTGAGGCAAATATGTTGGGTGTCAACAAGTTACAAACAAATTTTGCTTCATATTTTGAAATCAACATTATTTTTTTTTAATTAGGGATATAAAGTAATTCATACAAATGAGCATCATGAATAGAAATGTTAGATAGTACAATCATAAATACCAGTTAACTTCATCTTTTCCTTGGTCGAATAGATGTCAAAATTCTCTTCCAGATTAGAAGACAGAAGAGGATATTTTATATGATTCTTGTCTATCAATGGCTTTCTATAATGTTTGATTCAGAACGCCATTTAAGCATCTCCTATCTGTATTGAAGTATTATTTGGACCAGCATGTGTATAAACAGTGATGTATGATGAGTACAGCACTGATATCACGTGAAATTTTGGGGTCAACTCAGAGGTCCTTCTTCCCCTTGCTGATTCGATCCTCCTCTTACCTGTATTTTCAGGCTACAGGATGAAAATTGAGAACAGCCTGCCTTGCCCCCTCCTCCCTGAGTTCCCCTCCCAGACTGGGCTGCAGTTCACTGTGGCAACCGAGGAAGACTTTGATGAGATAATGGCGATGAGTCAGGACATCTACGGTGGCTTGGACTACCTGCCCACTCGCTATGGGTCTTGGCTCCAGGAACCCCATCGCATGGTCATCTTGGCGAGAAAAGATGGAAAAGTGGTACATTCTTGGCCTTTTTAACAAAGAATCTCTTGATTTTGTTGTTTTATCCATAATCAGTCAGATGCCAGTACTAAGGTCTAACCCAAAAACAAGATAAATATATATATATGTATACAGACGCTCCTCTACATATGAACTTTCAACTTATGAACTTTCAGACATACAAACGAAGAGGACTATAAGTCCAAATTGTGTTCATTGGGCTCCCGTTTCCTGTCTGGAACATAATTTTTTTTTCTGCGCCCCAATTGCGCCTAGTAGGACCTCTGACGCAGCAGCGTAGCGTGCATACTCCCAGCATCCTAGTTCTTAGTACTTGCGTATATCCTTAAAATGATTATTGAAATGATTAAAATGATTATACGAATAACGACTTACGAACATTTCAAGTTATGAACGGCCGTATCTCGTTCGTAAGTGGAGGAGCATCTGTATATGTATATGTATGCATATATGTATGTATCTATGTATGTATTTATGTATGTCTGTATGTATGTATGTGTATAGTCACATATTAAGGTGAGTGAAGGTGGAAAGAACCCCAGAATGCACACATGAGTGGAGGAAAAAACCCAGAAGGGGACTTTATTTATAATTTAAGGAGATGACAGGGAACAATGACAGAACAGGGAAGACCGGACTGGTAAGCATGTATATACCAGCCTAGTGAAGGACTGATACGATTCAGACATGAGGACTGGGGATCAGCAACAGGGAAAGAGACCATACCACAATGGAACCAAGACAACAAACAGAAGAGCATCCTGTACCAGGAACATGGGGTAATTCTGAGCACAAAGAGTGGGTGCCAGGCAAGTCCCAAAGGGCAGAACCACAGGGCAGGACATTCAGCAGGACTAGGGACAGGAGATGGTGAGGAGGCCAGCAAGGCGACAGCAGGAAATGAGTCAGGCGTCGGTGAGACAGCTGGTTATGAGACTGGACCCGCCGAGACTTCCGGGGATGAGGCAGCAGGCGAGCGGGGCACAGCCGGGGCACCTGGAGGTGAGCTGCAAGTTCCCAGCTGGATGGCAGATGAAACACAGTGGACCGAGCATCCCAGAGCAGAGTCCTAACTGGAGGAGAGGCCTCACCTGGGTTGGAGGTGGAATGACGTCTCCTGAATCAGGATTGAGCGGCACAGCTGCTGCAGGATCCGGGGCAGGCGATGTGGTGCAACTTGGACTGCGAGGCCCATCCCGAGGCAGGCTCTGGAGGCTTGAGAGAAGAGGGTGTGGCCCCTCTCCAGCTGGACTCTGAAGGCTCGGGAGAAGCGGGGATGGCTCCTTGGCAGGTCTCTGGGACCACATGAGGATTGGGGATCACCACAGGACACAGCTAGGAACCAACAGGAGGGTTCCGGAGGACTAGTAGTGACCCCTGCTAGTCACTGGACAGGCTGTAACCTATACATAAAATTTGCAATCAATTTTGTAGTGAAATACAGAGGCTGGAAAAAATAGGGAAAAATGGGAGAAATTTCTTTTAAGATAATATTGAAGCCCAAATATTTTTATTTGCTAAGCCTATTTTGTCAAATAAGGGTGCTTTGCCATCGCACCAGGTACCGTACTTTTGGTACTTTGAGAAAGTACTAAAACTTTGGTACTTCAAAGTGTTATTTTTCCACTGCCGTAAAAACTGATACCGGCGCCGAATGACATCATAGGCTAATTACATAACCAATCAACAAATGAAGCGTTTCAAGTCCCAACCCAAAGAATCAAAGTACCAAAGAAGTACCCCAGCTGATTTGGCGCTTTTGGTACTGGTACTTGGCCGGAAGTCAATGGAAAAGGGAAAGTACCAAAAGTACTGTACCAAAAATACGGTACTTGGTGCAGTGGAAAAGCACCCTAATTGAGCTGCCATTTGCTTTTAATTATACATATGCACATACATACAAGTCTACAATACATAGCCTTGAACATTGATCAGTTTTGATTATAACAAAAGTGTCATTAATTCAGTTTGTTGTCTTAAAGACTGAATGATATAATTACTACATAACACATAAGTATGAGACAGTGATCTTGAGCCCTCTGGTCTGAGTAGTTTTCAGTTATGTGATAAATTCACAAGGCAGGCTTTTTCCCAGACGTCCCTCCTTACCTGCTCCCCCGCCTCCACACAGATTGCCCTGGAATCCGTGTGCGTGATCGACGACGGTGAGACGGTGCTGGTAGAGGGGCTGCGGGTGGCTCCTCAGGAGCGGGGCAAGGGCGTGGCCGGGGTCCTCCTGCGCTTCTGCTCTCAGCTGGTCAAGGCCAGGTACCCTGATGTCAAGGTGAGCCGCCTGACCCGTGACGACCAGCTGGGACCTAAAGACTTCCAGAAGTATCGGATCATCACCAAGCAGGTAATGACTCTTAAAGCCTTTTTAAGACAATCTCATCTCATCGGCCATTGACAGTTCATTTACAGTATAAATGGTATTGTTTACCTTGTCATTAGGTTATTATTCCATTGTACAGAATTATTGTGTTGCATATATTGATATGGTATGTTTTTTAAAACATTTCCAAAATTGTCATGAATTGTAATTTTTTTATGATTTATATCTGTAAAAAATCTGTAAAGGATTATAAATGTAGGCAATTAAAAAAAATTATTATAATACTTCATTTTTTGTAACTGTTCGTGCTGCTATATTCAGCTATATAATACCCTATTCTTCCAAGTACAGTAAAACCTCGGATTGCGAGTAACTTGGTTTGCGAGTGTTTTGCAAGACGAGCAAAATTTTAAAGTAAATTTTAAGCGAGATCTTGCAGTACTATGTATTATGTATTCGCTTTGTCTACCTAGCGTTACGTGATCACAACTGAGCCTTCTCTCTCTCTTGCTGTGGGATTGTGGGTAATCGTTTCCCATGCTCGGTCTCTGTCAACGTGCCTCACTCATATAGTCAAAATTTACTAGAAAGGCACCACCCGAATAAGGGCGTAGCAGTGCTAAATCGTGATTCTGCAAAATCGAAAAGGAGGCAAAAGCAGCTGTCATTGGATAGGTTCCTTGATAAAGTTGCACAAAAAGAAAAAGATTCCAGTGAGCCACCAGATAGCAGTGATTCTGTTAGTTATAGTGAAAGTCGTCGTACAAAATAAGCCTCCTCTTCTCCTCTCTCTCGGCTCCTTCACACCATCCACGATTCTTTTCAAAGGTAAAGTGCAGGTTAATTTGTTTTATGTATTTTTACCTTGTATTTTGTACTAATCATTTTTATATGAATATTTTTGGGTTGTGGAACAAATCATCTGAGTTTCCATTATTTCTAATGGGAAAATTCGCTTTGATATGCAAGTGCTTTGGATTACGAGCACGTTTCCAGAATGATTTATGCTGGCAATCCGAGGTTTTACTATATAGACTCTAGATCACCATGAAACTGACTCTAGGTTTACATGACCATGACTAACTTGGTTTGAAAGTATTTAAATGTATGTAGACACAGGAGCAACAAATGGTCATGCATTAAAAAGAATACATTAATTGAAATTAAAAGAAAAAACCTAATTATGTGGTTTTGAACTTTTTCACACATACACACATCAATGGGTTGATACTAACAGGAATACCGGCCTGCTAACTGTTTTTCCAGGGGATTCTCCTAGTTCGTTTCAGAGCTGAAGATCTCAAACTGCGCCTGGCAGAGAAGGATTCGGACACACAGCGTTTTGGGGGTTCCACTGTCCCCCATGCAGTGCTGTTGGACCCCAGCGAGGCCCACAGGCTGTTCCTGAGTGCCGGCATCACACAGGATGTCCTACCAAATGCCACCATCGTACAAGACTGGCAGCCCTTTAAACCTCTGCCTAGCAACATGGCCATCCTGGCCAAGAAGGACATTGACTGGATGGTGGATGATGCGATTCGGCCCTCGGTCGCCAGCCTCTGCACCTTCCCCTTCCATGTGCCCATCGGAGAAGACTGGTATTACCTGAACATTGACATCTTCGGGAAAGATCTTGACCTGGTGCGACAGCAGTTCCTGTCCCACCTCCGGCGCCACACCGCCACTCTGCGGGGCAACGTCATGTGCCAGCTGTTCCTGGACCCACCCCTGTGGGAGCCACTGGCCGAATTCTGTCGCAACACCTTGGGCGTGGAGCTGGTGAAGGGCTACACCGAGCAGTGTGTGGTGGAGTCCGACCTGGTCTAACGAGGAGAGATCAAGAGAGAAGAAAGGAGAGCGATGACGTGACAGACAGCCCCTTCCTCAGAGAGACATCCCTCAAAAAAGGAAGCTCCCCCACCCTCTGCTTCCTTGAGGATACCTTTTTCTCACCTCTGCATAGCAACTCTCAAGTCTCAAAAACGTTTAAAGATATAACAAATGCAATCAACGTAGGACTTTAAAAGCATTCATTTTAACTCTAAAATAGGTTACAAGTTTTGTTGGTGTATAAAGGAACAAGAAACTGAAAACACATACAAATGCAAGCTTAGGATATCCACTTTATGTTCAAACAGCTCATAAAAATTATTTTTTGTTTATAAATAGGCTGAAGTGCAAATAGGTCTGCACAAGTCTCAATGCACTTTATAAATAGTATGTAATTAAGTGATGTGAGGCCCAGTGACGCATGGTGATCAGTTGGATACGTCAGTTCAACCAAGGAGACCTCAATAGATAGTTGACATGAGTGTTTATTTGGTTAAACAATTTAAATGAGTATGAGAAGAGTGATTTGGCAAAGCCCGTCTCTTGGTCGTCGGTTCCATCAACTCTGAAGCCGACAGATCTGGCTAGGCGACCAGGCGAGCCAACCCCGGACCAGGACGGGGAGCTGAAGGTGGTGGAGGGGAGGAGGCGGGCGAACCGAATAGCTGTAACGGCAAGGAAGTGGGTTAGACTTATTCTTTATATAGAACCTGGATCGCTGTGATTGGACACGCTGGCATTCATTAGGTCTCCTTGTTTGAACTTTCGTATTCACTTTCATTTCATTCTAGCTTTGAAGAGTTTTGGCAGAAAGCATGCTTCTGCTGCACTTTTCACTATGAAAGTCCTATAGAGGAACTGAGGAACAACACAGAAATGTTTAGTTTTGCGTTAATCGGTTAACTGCATCCAGGATAAAAAATAATCAATGAAAAGCAACTCAACCTCTGCCACTCATATACAAGTATGAAAAATATACACTTTCAGGTTCACAACCTTCAAGGCTACAATTCCCCTTCTTTTTAAACAAGAATGAGACAATGTAGCAAGCAACATTATTAATGCTGTTGATTTAGTTAAATATATTTCACATTTTAATAACTTTTTCAAACAGGCTTTTATTTCAAAATGGTATTCGCTGAAGGAAAATGCACTACAATAGGTTTGCAAGATGTAGTGTGTGCACTTATATCTGCTAATGAAAATGATTAATAATTGACTTATTTAAGAGCCAGTCTTCAATGGACAGTTCTCTCTTTGAAGCAGTTGCCCTTTTTGCTAAATATGCTGTGATGGGTATTAGTTTAACTTGTGAATGTTCAAGTTTGGATGCATAATGTGAGTATAGAGAGATAATGGTCATATTTGTAATAGAATGCATGATGTGAGTATTTATTGGACTAACATGTGTTCAGAGGAATGACATGGAGGGACCTGATTGTGTTTCTAGAATAACTGCTGCAAGTTTTCTACTGTTATTTATTTATATGTAATATTTAATCAGTTGTGGTACAGATATTTTTATATAGTACCAATAGCAGTAATATGTTATTATTTGTTTTATAAGAAGCAGAAACATTAACGTCAGAATTTTTTTATACACTGCATTGTTCGGTACTTTCTGAGTTTTGGTGAGAACTTGCGAATACCATTTGAAATAAATTAACCTGATCCAAAGTTATTTGTCAGCAGGAAAAAAGATGCCAAACACAAACGCAAAAGCATGCACGCACCAATGTCTTTCATTTTTGCATCCATTACCAGAAGTGTATTGATTTGCCTTCACATAAGCTATTGTTAATGTGCACTGAGATTCCTGCTTTTTTTCGATTTTACCATAGTGACACTAAGGTCTGGAACCCTTGTGTGAACAGTGACTATGTCATACTTTTATGGCTATTTAAAGTTCTCCACAAAGTACATTTTCAAGTGTGTTCATCTCATGTGTCTCAATAGGATTTCCTGCACTACCTTCCAGTATTCTCTTAAGACAGAATATTATACCCTTATTGAAATTCTCAAAGCAACTTTGCTTACTACATCATGCAGCAGATTCATTTGCCCATTTATTCATTTCCTTATATACTTTTAATGCCTTAAAAAATAAATACATAGATGTATAATCTGAAACACACAATGATTTTCTAGGAAGGAGGAAGAAAATAAAAGTTACAGGAAATGTAAATGGCCAATATGTATATTGCATTAGTCAAATATTACCCTCTGTGACTGCTTCTAGGTTTGCTATTTATTGGACATAAAAAACAGAAACCAACTTTTTAAATTACACCAACAACTTTTAATTAAATGTTAAGATAGCCTCATGAGGACACGATGAGAAACATCTTCTATAGATGGAGAAACTAATATTTTGATATATTAGTAATCTAAAGTAGAAGATAGAAAATATATTTTTTCACTTTTAAATTAAGCATGAATAATACCTGTCAATGGGAAAGAAACTTAAGAAGAACAAGAACGATTCTAGCGATGGACTGAATGCAAAAAGGACACATTCCTCTTGCTTCCCCAATGAGCACAGACCATTTTTTTAATTATTATTATGACTGATGGATTGAACTGAGTCAATGTTGAGGCTGAACAGCAACTATGGGAGAAATGTGTGAGGAAGATACAGAGAAGCTGAAAGCAAATGACAAACCACGTCAACAGAGTGTGTCTCCAACGCCTGCTTCAGAGCGCTTGGTTGGCTGTGAGGATTGGAAGAGATGCATGGCAGTAAGAAGGTCAGCCTACTATCCCTTTAAAGGCATGCTTCCAGCTGTGCCAAAGGTCTAAGCAAGAGGACAGTGTGCAGATGAGTGAACCATGTTTACGCCCAATTTCAGTGAAAGTGAGGAGCGGAACCATTCAGTTGTCTACTGAACCAAGATCAAGGATTCTACACAAAGTTTTGGAAAAAAAACCCAAAAAGCTCCCTGAGAAACTACAACATCTATTTTTTTCTTAAATGAAACTCCTAATGCAGTGTTTCCCAACCCAGTCCTTGGAGACCCACAGACGGTCCACGTTTTTGCTCCCTCCAAGCTCCATGCCTGATAGACCACATTTTTGCTCCCTCCCAGCTCCCGGTAGGAGCAAAAACGTGGACTGTCTGTGGGTCCCCAAGGACCGGACTGGGGAACACTATCTAATGGCTTTGGACTCTTTTTAAGTCTTAATTTTTCTGCTGAACCGAAGAAGAAAAGATTTGAATGGAGGCCAATAGACTGTAATGACAAAGGGAAGACCAGCATGTACAGTGGGGGTCTGAGTGCTGCCCCCCAGCTCCTTTACTTCTGGCCCAAATCCCACATATGTTATCGTATACACTGCTTCAGGGCAGATGTACAAAAGCCATTTGGGAAAGAAAAACTGAAATTGCCCCATGCATTTAAAAAAAAATGTCCTCTACCAATGTGCACCAGAGCCTTATCCCCTAAATTAAAAGTTTGTTTTTACAGCAGAATTAAGCTATAAAATTGAAGATTCCAGATTCGACCATCCTTTTATGGCAGTGCGATGACATATAAGGATGGTGGAGCGTTGACGATACATTAACCAGACAATGAGTTTATAGTGCGCTGTGGGTAGTTAATGTTCAAAGTTGAGAGACAAATCCACTCAAGACTACATGACTGTCTGTTCTGAAATGAAATGAAGTTTCTGATATTAGTTTGGTCCCAGCTGGCAGTCACAGTAAGACAGACAATGAAGCTTTCTGAATACACCCCTGTTTATTATGGTTTGTACCACTTACAACTCAGATAAATGTGATATTTTACTTCTGTAAATCTGAGAAGTACCTGGCAGATGGGTAACACGTCATAAACCATCTGACGATCTGCAGACAGCCTTAGTTCCTTAATGCTTTTGTATCACGTGGGAAAATTCATCCCGTGGTCAAAAATGGATGACAGTGTTCTCAGCACTGACATTACCACCCGCAGGCGCCCCCCCCCCCCATATGAAAAAACAAACTTTTTAAAATGTGGTGAGGTGATTTCCATTTTCTGCAGAGCACTTTACAAACTGCTCACCACCAGAACAAGAAGAACCGTCCTTCATCTTCAAATGGACTCTACTTGTTCCACATTTTTTTGTACTTGATTGAAGCATCTCATCTTGTATCAGTTTTGTTATGTGAGAAACCGTAAACAGAACAGCATATGTGCGAAAAGGAGTAGCAAATTGTCATATGTAACAGCCAGAGAACCTTCATGGTAAAATTATGTATAAACTCTGTTCCATCTCAGTGGCACTAAACTGTATGGTGTATTTTAAACAGATTCATACTGTACTGTAGGGCTGTGTGTTCTGGGTTTGCTGACACTGATGGTGGCTGAGTGGCACATCCTGTTGGAGCCGCAATACCATAGAAACAAACTATATATTGTGGTTAAAGTGCGTATTGCCTGCTTTGCTGTCTGTGACCTGTTGGCTAAAACTGTGTAATGTCAACATATGTTAGGCAGTATTGGGTAAAGGTTTATGCATTATTGTTAGTATTATAGCACATAAAACTGTCAAACATTCTTACTTAGACAAACCCTTCACTGTAAGATATTTAACCTAAGCATTGTTAAAGAAGTAACAAAATAGCCAGTTGGGAACAACATTCAAGGTAACAGCTCCAGTCTGGATACATATAGAAAACCTGCAGGCATAAGAGAGAATAAGGAGCATTTGGGTGAAGTGAGGTCTGCTGAAATGAGCATCCAATACCGCGGTGAAGGGTTTGTTTGTATGTTAACAAAAGCGAGTTAAAACATTTCTGACACTGATGGTGTCCCTCACATTGTATTACCAGTCAGGCAGTGAGCAGGGCTATTCAAAGTTAACTTGGCACATTTGCCATTTGACTTTTTAAGTTTTACTGTGGATTCCCAGGAAATTTGCCAGATCCTAAAATATTTCATTATGCCACTCATTGGGTCAATAAGAGGGATCAGCTCTGTGAACCATAACGGAGCGTACCAAAACTGAGCAGGGGGGCACATTGGAATGGGAACAAATTTATACATTATTGTATTTATACATGAACAAGTGCAAATTTCCTTAGCAAATTTAAGCTTAACAAAGATGGTTGTTCGCAAAAATGTATGGAAATGTAACCCGGTGTATACCAGTTTTCATTTTGTATATTCATGGACCTTCTGTCATTTTATACCTTCCAGATTTTACAGTCTTTATTTTGCTTATTTTTTTCTTCTGTCATCTTTTATTAAGTCATTTTTTTACTTATGGCATCAAGCGATACATTTAGTTGTGAGCAGGTTGATGAGGGGGGCTGGGGGGCTGGGGGTGGCCCAGTGTGACATCGTGAAGCGAGTCCCTGTTGTTCATCTAGGGCATACATTTTCAATTTCTTTTCCAGGAATGGAAACAATGACGGCAGTAAGGGAATGGCGACGAGGGGGGGGGGGGGGTTGAAGGGGTAAGCATGGACTGTGTAACAGGAGTTCATGTCCCTCACATTGTATTACCAGTCAGACAGTGAGCAGGGCTATTGTGTAACGTAGGAGACGTATGAGTCTGCAATGCCCTCTGGGACATACTGTGACTGGGCAACTGTGAGTAACTAGTGTCTAGTGAACCTTAAAGAGGGCAAAGTAAATGCAAAACTTCCCAAGAGAATATGCCGTTTTGTAGCAGGATTCCGTCAACCCATGGCCTACAGAAAGAGGCTCTCCCATGTTAATGTTGGACCGTAGCTAACAGTGGATGAGGGTCAGAGCAGCCCTCATTCAGCCATACAGAGCAAACACAAACAGTCCCACGTAGAATCTGTGCAGACTGCTACCCTTAAGCTTACGCCAGTAGCACCTGTAGAGACATTCCTCAACAGGGGAATGTTATGTACAGTAGAAAGTACTGTTTTGTTAAAAAAACAAAAATGTCCATTTTTTTAAACCATGTACCCTGTCTCCCTGAGTATAGGGAGTAGATTATGGTGAGGATGTAGGGTTGGGGGAGGGTTAGGACTGGTAATTTTTGAAATACTTAAAGACACTACAGACGAACAATCCCTGCTTGCTACATAAGCCAGCTCATTATATATGTGTAGTGGGGCAGCATGCTGGGTAATGTGGGGGGGTCGTCTTTCCTCATACTGCCAGGTCTGAGGTCTCAGTCCCACCTGTGCTGTGTGTGTGTGGAGTTTGCATGCTCCTCCAATGCCGTGTGAGATCCCTTTTCAGTACAAAGGCATGCAGTCAGACGAAATAGTGACATAGTGTCTCTAAATTGTCCCTAGTGTGTAAGCTTATGTGTTTATGTGCCATGCGATGGATTGACCTATTCTCCAGTACACACACACACACACTCACATATATATGTATACGTTTAAAACAAACTAATAAAAATCACTTACTAGCAATTTTTTAAATATAAACAACCAAAAAATAACTCAATCCCTTATCAGAAATTTAAAAATTGAATGAATAAAAGCAGAATATTTGAATGAACAGATATAGTGCCACTGTATTTGTATATATAATATCTGTCAAATATATTTAGGGTTTTAGGTGAATGATGATAACACATAAATGACAAACAGGCTAAATATTGTAATTTCAGATTTGACTAGTGCAGAAGAAAAAAAAGGTTCTTAACAGTCTGCTTAATTAGTTTTGCTGTTTTAAATGCACTTTTTAAGGATATTTTAAACAAGCCACAGAAATGGTGCTTGGGTTAAAGCAGTTCATACTGGCTACTTTTAGTAAGAATAATTCTGTTGGTCTTAGTATCAGAAGCTGTCTTCTGATACTGTTTTATAGTACTACTCTACTGAACATTTGAACAAATTTTCTGTATTCCATCCCTTATTCGGCAGATAAATAACCAAATTACATAAATGTGTTAAAAGTTTTGGTTGTTTAATTATAACTGGTAGCATTTTGGACCAAAAAAGGTAAAAAATAAAAAAACTGATTGCAATATTAGCAGATAGGAAATAGGGAATCGTTCCATATCAATCCACAGGCATGTGTGTGTTTGCATGTGAGCCTCAAGTATGTTTGTGCTCTTGATACTCTTGTGAAATTCCGAAGTGCACGTGCATGCGGACATGTGTGTGGTTGACATGGTTATGTTGATAAATACATTATGTCACAAAGAAGACAGCTGCTAGCTGGGGTTGTTCAGTCTTTAATGTGTCCTTTAATCTAAATTACATTGCACTTGATCCCCCATGGGGAACTGAGAACCAGCTAGTTTACATGCACAACGCACTTGATGGTCTCAAGATTCATTTGTGCTTAAGTATTAAGCATGTAACTGACACACATGGGCCGGAACGCTTACAGCAGGGATCCCCAGTTCTGGTCCTGAAGGGTCAGTCTGCAACGCAGGTTGCAGATTCCCCAGCTCAGACATACCTAATAATCCTGGCGATTCGCTGGTGAGCTGAAGTCGCTGTGTCTGGGCAGGGAAACCTGCAAACTGTGTTGCAGTTTGAACCTCCGGCACTGGAATTGGGGAGCCTTGGCTTACAGACACAGAGCCACCACATGAGCTGTATCGTTCCACCTGGTGACCCTGCAACACTAGGATGCAGTTTTGAGTTTTAGGCCTTTACCTCTGAGTGGAATCTACACCAGCAGCAGCCCTTGGTGTCTGGTGGCACAGAGCAGAGGGAGTGCTGGTACAGTGCCTGATTATTCTAGTATGACTAGCAGGATTCTCTGAAAACTTCACCTAGAAAAGTTCTCAGGGAAGGTCATTCACTGCGGCCTTTAAAAGTCCTACTTTTCCAGCTTAATCAGAGGCCAAACTGGGATGCTAGTGTAAAGCAGGAACATGATGGAACTCATATGAATTCAACCTATTTTGCTATCGCATTTTAAAATAACATGCGCAAAGTTTTAGGACCAGCCGTCTTACCGCTTTGTAGATTCTTGTACCCAACTGGACCACAGACTGTAGAAAATTAATTCTTTGGCAAAGCGTATTTGTTATTAATTTGTGGATGATATCGTGCTGCAGGTCAGTATAGCCTCGTTGACTATAAACAACCATAGATTTGTACTAATCCTGCGACTGTTACTGGGAATTTTCCCAGTTTTGGGTAAAAATTGATTTCTGCTTCATTACGAATTGGGACAAAGTATTCAACTGCCGTTTGTTTAAAGCTTGTACCTGTGTACTTGTTCTTCTGTGTGTAGGGACATTGTTTTCATTAAAGGGCCCTAAAACAAATGGGCACTTTAATGTGAACCCCCATAAGATGAGACTGTGGGTGTCTTACCAAACTTTTCTTCATCTTTCAAACACCCATCCTTCCTTCATTTGCATTCCTTTGTTCATATCCTGTTTTTTATGTTCTCCCTCTGTTTCTGGTTTTTATATATATACATAAGCACAGACTATTGTCTGAAGGTCTGTGTATATTAATATACTGTATTAAAGGAAAGAAGAAAGGCTAAAATCTTTCAGGCGGAGCGATTGTAAGTTTATAGACTTTTATAGGTGAAATATGCCTGATTTTTGCACATATATTATGTGATTGGCATAGTAAATGACAATATACTTTAAAAACTTTTTTATTACATTTTCATTAATAATTAAAAAAATTAGTTCAGAGCAGAGGTGGAAATTTCAGGTTCAAAAAGTGAAAATCTAGACCAATATTTTGTTTCAATCAACCAGTTGAGTATAAAGTGTCTGGATTTTTACTTTCTGGACCTGAAATTAGTTAGATTGTGTAATGTGCAATATTTCATCATGTTCAATATTGGATATATTATTGTGATGCTAAAATGTTACATGAAGAAATTGTTTACCTGAGCTCTTTGCTGACATAGAAGTGAGCTTTTAAAGTCTCAATTTACAAGTGAAATACACCCATCTGAGCAAGTCCTTCTCCTTTCCTTATGATGTTTTTCTGTAACTAGCACTCACACTGATAACATTTTATGTTTGTATGAACTGTGAACCACTTTCTGCCTCATTGTACTGTATTTAAAAGTTAAGTCACTGTAGCTATTCTTTTTTATTTAATTGGAATGAAACATAACTGTTTATTCTGCTTTTGTCAATGCATAGTTTCATGTGTTCTTATATCCATATATAGCCGTCGTGTATATTTTGCCTTATGATGTCATGATGTACTTTTCAAACCACCTCAGCTCTCAGTATAACTATAGACAGTGTGTATTGTACATGCTGTGTATTTTTCTCAGAGATTAGAGCTTTCAGCTGAGAACTCAAGCTTCTCAGTGGCTGACCTGTACACAGTATATAGCAAAATGTACATTCCTCATAGTGTTAGAACTCCTGAACGCTATATGCACTTTTGATGAGGTATCTCCAGTGGTGTCCAATGGCCAGGGTGCAGACATTCTTTATGGGAATGTAGCGACATGTATTTGCTTCTTTTTTGCCATCCCACACATGGCCGTTTAAATGTTTCCCAAACAAATGGCCCAGATTGTAACTGAACCCGTAAGGAGGCCCTGAGGGACACCTAAGACAGATCTGGTATATGCAAAGTTCTCCTGGGTGTTGAGGTGATGTTGACTCCCCCGGTGCAGTCTCTCCAAAAACATCACAGTCAGATACCATGCACTTGTTAGTTCTGAGTGCACATGCCTGTTCCAGATATGGGCAGTCCATCCAGATTAGCACCGAGCACTGGCTGCCTTGACGGCAGCCTAAATATGCTCAAATGTCAAATATACACTGAAGCCATTTTTAAACGTCTTGATCTAATTTATGTAAAATGAATAATACATCAGGAAATAATACGCAGTACTAAGTTCTGGAAAGAACTGATGGGACAAATGCTGTGGGAGTCAAAGATGAGACTTATTTA